GGGGGGGGGGGGGGGGGGGGGGGGGGGGGGGGGGAACACAGCAGGAGGGGAACTCTCTGGAGAGCAGAGCAGAGTCCTCTTGCCTGACATTTTGATCCTTGACAGAGCCTTACAATCCACCGTAGGGATGGGGGAAGGAGTGGTGGACCCTTAGTTTAAAAATACACCTAAAGTCAAGCGGGTTTTCCAAGTCTCTCTTAAATATTAATCACAGGACAGAACAATGCGATGCAAGTCAATATGGAAAGGAGGCAACTGTCTATGCCAAGTTTCTAAAGCCGGTACTTTTCTGTTAATTACCACTGCTTCTTCTGTATTGGTAGGAGAAATATTTAATAAACTGGGGAAATTAGACGTGATACCGAAAAAAAATGCTTGAGTTGACACAATGAGGTGGGGATGGACAGTTAAATTGTGTGAAGTAATTTTTTTGTTAATTAATAATCAAAGAACAGATAAGGGTTTAGTCACCCAGCAGCAAGGCGGACACGTGCTCCGAGAGGTCGCTAAGCCGTCATGTGCGGCTGTGTTCATGTTCCGGCACGAACGCCGTGCAGTATGTAGGGCACCGTGCAGATTTCCAGATCAGCGAGGAGCGCGTCCTTCACATTCAGTGCAATGTCAGGAGCTGAACCAAACTTTCTGGAGCGCCACCTGCATCCATTCTAACCCCCCCACCCCCGAGTGTCGCGGTACGCCTTGGCGCTCTTGGCGTCCTGCTAGTGACCGTTGTCGAGAAGCACCTTGAGGGAGTTTCACGATGGCAGGGTAAACATTCAGCAGGAGATCCACGTTGAGCTGGCAGGTAAAATGGCCCCTGTGTCCCACACAGACAGCTAAGTGCAGCAGCTAATTGTATCCTCCGAAAAAGGTAACCTTTGAGAGGGCACTGTATTTTAAAAAGAAATTATTAATAAACAAAACAATAATGTGACAATGCAGCCCGAACAAACGGAAAATGACCTTCACCAGTCATGCAAATAACTGCTTTCAATCGTACGCAGACCTTTCGGCTCAGTGCTAACACTCAGCATAATTACATGGGGGGGGGGGTAAGGCTAACACTCAGCATAATTGCATGGGGGGGGGGGTAAGGCTAAATAACTGCCGCCATTTATGGTAACACCAGTAAAGCTACTGGGGTGTCACTGTCACCGACTCCCCCCCCCCCCCTCCAAGGGTAGTGCTTATATGCTCATCCTGAAAGAGCAGCACGTTAACCCCCCTCCCCCGTAGCCCCGCCCATGTCCATGCGCTTGAAAGGTCACTGAGGTTGAAGTGGCGTGCATCCGGTCTGTTCTGTGCAGTACGCGCTGCCTTGTGGCGTGTTTGGGCTGCCATGCTTTGCCCCCCCCCCCCATTACACCTTAGAATTGTGGACAAAGACATCAGAGGAGCAGCTGGGGTTCATCGTCTGCCTACCTGTGACTGGAAGGGCAAATGCCACCTTTGTCTCAGGACAGGACAGGACAGGTGCAGGACAGGACAGGACAGGTGCAGGACAGGACAGGACAGGTGCAGGACAGGACAGGACAGGTGCAGAACAGGAAAGGACAGGTCCAGGACAGGTGCAGGACAGGACAGGACAGGTGCAGGACAGGACAGGACAGGTGCAGGGCAGGACAGGTGCAGGACAGGACAGGTGCAGGACAGGACAGGACAGGTGCAGGGCAGGACAGGACAGGACAGGACAGGTGCAGGGCAGGACAGGACAGGACAGGACAGGACAGGACAGGTGCAGGACAGGACAGGACAGGACAGGTGCAGGACAGGACAGGACAGGTGCAGGGCCTCACAGAGCCCCCACCTAAGGCATGGAAAGACATTCCAAGATGGGCTTCCAAATCACCCTGTCGTGCGTAGGTACATTTTTATCCACAGTGTCTTAACTTACTTGTAAACAGGACTGAACTTCTTGCCGCTGTAGATGTGAATTCAAACTAGCACATCACAGGTTTGTACGCCAGTGGGGAGGCCCCTTGGGAGGGAGGGGCTGACACCTCTTGGTTTAGCTACCCTGTTACCTATGAATCTCTCACCTAAATCTGCTCTCCCTCCTTCACATGGCCTAGTTTTGTTGACTAATATAATGCAGAGTGAATCCTAAAAAGAGAGACACATTTAATTAATTCATACATCTTCTTTTTTTAGATTGCCGCATCATTCATGTCCAGTTTAATTAGACAAATTAATTAGCAATCAGCCAAAAAGGTGTCACAGGGCGGCTGAGGGAATTACAGTATGAGTGCTGTCAGGCTGGTTTGATTTGATTAACAGGAATTTGCTTCTTCTCTAGTCGACACCATTAGCCTGTTTCCACCTTTGGCTTTCGGCTTAAGATCAGCACCCTCCATTGGTGATTATCACATTGAATATGGAGACAAATGCCCCCCTCCCCGGTAACTGAGGAGGACACTATGACAACGGCAGCTCCTGCAGTTCAAGTTGCCACCTGCCAGTGGTCTGGGGTACAGCCAATGTGAAGTTCTCCCTCAAATTTAACACCTGTGTTAATATATAAAAGGGAATTCCCTCAGATGGAGGGAATATATATATATATATAGGCCTATATGTGTGTAAGGACAAGTAGACTGGAGTGGGATCGCTTTTATAAGTGGCTGCATGTCTTGTTTTGTAGTTGTCAACTTAAGCTTAAAGTTTAGACTCCAGTTTGACTTTATCTCACCCATTTTGGCCAGTTATAAAAACAGGGCATTTAGATGCATGACACATGGTACGAAAAAAGGGGGAATGACATGTCACCGTGACCCAGGGGCACGGATGGATTCCGTTTTCCATTCTCTAAGTCTGATTTTCATCTCTTGTTATACAATGGAACCAAACTAACAACTAATTTTTAAAAACACTTATGTCAGTGTTCATTCAGCCTGCATGCGCCCAGCCGGCTCAGCTCGGTACCGAAAGCCCATCTGTTTTCTGTCGGCATCTAACGAAATGCTGCCGGTCAAATTCCCGTGTCTGCAGGAAAAAAACATCACTCAAATTATTTTGCGCTCTAATTTGCGCTCATTCTTAATCTATAATGGGAAGCTTAGTAAATGTCGACATCACCTGTATGTTTAACGTGCATTCCATGCAGACACGATTTAATTTTTTTTTCTCCACTGGCATGATTACCATTAACTTTACCGAGACCAAACACAATCAGATTTAGTGCAATCAGACGTGGCATTGTTTCCGCAGACCCTGCTAAACCCATCGCTGCATACATTCAGGCATCGCCGCTGCGATGACGGTCATTTACGATCCAGTCCAGTCCGGCGGCTGCGTGGCATTCGCTTTCGAGCCATGCAAACTGAATGAACGCTGTATTCTGCCAGAGAGACTTCCTACTGCTGCCCCCTCCCATCACAGAAACACCCCCCACAGAGGAACTGCTACCGGAGGTTAACTGTGACAGTCTCAGCGTAGACTAAGTAAATAAGATCTCATTTTAAAATGATCAGACAGAAAATGTGAAGACACACGGACACGCCTAATCACTTGACAAGGCAAAGACTGAATTTCCTATCTACGTTTACAGAAATGAATGGTCTTTTTAAAAGTACCCCCTGCCCCAAAAAAAATTATAAAAAAATAAAAACAAGCTATTGTGGTGACAAAGGACAAGGACCTAAACATCTGTGAAAGCAAACACGTGCCAAACCCCCAACAGCGCTACAAGTGTTTATAGATCTAACGGCAAGTTGTTTTGGTATATTTTATCCCACTAATGTAAACGGAACTGTTATTTTGACACTGAAATTAAATGTTTTGTTTCCTTTATTTTGGTTATCACGTGTCCAGGGCTGTCTTTATGCCACTTTCATCAACATTCTGTGGATGCATGTATAGGACAGAGACTGTGAAATCGTTTCAGTGGCTCTCCTGATTAGGTCCTCTGTATTCCCGTTTAGAGGCAGGGTGACAGAATACAGGACCGGGAATGTGTTCACATCTGATCTGAAGTTAAAACATCTTTGATCTCAGATTATTCTTGTGCTTGACCATGTGCACAACTTGTCAGGGGTGCACAGCACAGTAAAAGTAAAAGAAGGAGAGAATGTTTTCAACCAGAACAATAAAACAGGTTGCAATTCTGGTTCTGCTAAAACTCACTACAGACCGCCACTGTGGCACAGGCATAAGTTGTGACTAATTATTAAGGTTTTTGTTGAGTCATATGTGCAGTTAGTCCCTCTGTGGAAGGTGGTTCCACATTATATATGGATACCTTTCTCTGCATTTCGAAGGAAGATGATCTTTTCTATGATACAAGGAGACGTTCATGCAGAACAGGTGTACTGGTGTGTTCCGGAGCCATCAGCTTGATATAAAGCAAACTGATCCAGGTGCATCGTGAACGACCGACTGCCAATTAACGGCGTTAGATGCATCATTGCAGCTTTACGTGGCATCGCCGCAGAAACTGAAACGTCACGGTCGTTTACAGCCCCTGAGATTCGCAAGGACGACGATGAGACCCAGATGTATGTTTTCTTCCATGTATCATCACCGTTAAATGGGACACTACCCCCCCCACCCCCCGTTTGTCAGGAAGCAATGTCCCACCGCTTGTTGGGTTGAGGATTTATTCCTCCGAACAGCGCCTGTCTTGGGTCGCATGCATTATGCATTGATGCTCAGTGCTCTTTACGGAGGAGGACACAGCAAAGCTTCTGGCAGCCTTGCCGTTGACGTGCGATGACTACTGCCGCAAACATCTTTTCTTATTTCCCCGGTTTATCGGACACCGGCATCCTCCCGCTCCGCGTCCTGAGACAGCCTTGGCCACGTCGTCGTTATGCAGAGCCATTTTTCAGTCATGTTGAAAATGGTAAACATAGGGGTGGCCAACAGTGTGTGTGTGTGGGGGGGGGGGGTTGATTTGTGCTCTTGGCCTTATCGTAATCCCCATGGCACTGTGAGGACGAGGAGCACAGAGTGTAGCTGCACGAGCTACGG